TCCTCCAGCATGCCCGGAGCATGTCTGCTTGAGGGCCTTTGCCTTAGTTTTTCCTCAAGCTGGAATTCTCTTTCTCCTGGATCCCACTTTAATGCTTGATCCTGCTCCCTGTCTCCACCTATGGCTATTGCTGCCCCCCAACCTCCCTTAGAAAGTTTGCTTATTGGGGAAGGCAGGAATCTTTGTTCTGTTTACTGATGTATCCTGAGATCTGGAACAATACCTGGCACAATGTGTATATCCAAAATAGTTGAATGTGTTGTTGGATTTGAAGAGTTGGCTTTGAAGAGTTGGTAGGTTCTGATTGTTTTAATAGACATTTAAGGAAGCAAGTAGAAATTTATATAGATCTTATCCCCTGGGAAATGTAGATAGAGACTATTTTCATACCTAACTTGCTTTGAAAATTGTATACTGATCATTATGTTATTTTATTTTATTTTTGTCTAAAGCGTGGTGCTCGGTCCCCTCTGATATTTCTCTATGTGGTTGACATATGCCTGGAGGAAGATGACCTTCAAGCCCTCAAAGAGTCTTTGCAGATGTCCCTGAGTCTCCTTCCTCCAGATGCTCTGGTGGGTCTCATCACTTTTGGGAGAATGGTGCAGGTTCATGAACTAAGCTGTGAAGGAATCTCCAAAAGTTACGTCTTCCGAGGAACCAAGGATTTAACTGCAAAGCAAATTCAGGTTTGTATCTATTGCACAGAAAGAAGCAGGAGCAAAGACATTTCTTAAAAATTCCAGTAGTGGCAGTGTGGCTCAAGTGGTAGAGTGCTCACTTTGAGCAGAAGAGCTGAGGGACAGCGTCCAGACTCAGAGTTCAAGCCCCATGACTGACAAAAAACAAAACAAAAAAAAACAAACAAAAAAATCCAAGCTGGGTGCCACTGGCTCACACCTGTAATCCTAGCTACTCAGGAGGCTGAGATCTGAGGATTGCAGTTCAAAGCCAGCTCAGGCAGGAGAGTCTGTGAGACTCTTATCTCCAATAAACTACTCAGAAAAAGCCAGAAGGGGATACTATGGCTCAAGTTGTAGAGCACTAGACTTGAGCACAAAGAGGCTCAGGGACAGTGCCGAGGCTCTTGAGTTCAAGTCCCAGGACCAGTCAAAAAAATATTTTCAGTCATTAAATTTTAGTGTTATGGGAAATGAATCTTTCTATTTTTTTTAGGATATGCTTGGCCTCACCAAACCAGCTATGCCTATACAGCAAGCAAGACCAGCTCAACCTCAGGAACACCCTTTTGTTTTCAGCAGGTGAGATACTGACAAATAGTATTGTGTGTGCTGTAGTGGGCTGGAGCTTAGCCCTTGGGAGTAAGAGAAGAAAGTATTAGAACTCTGGTTTCTTTCTTCCTTTTCTTTTTTTTTTAAATTGAGATTAGGTGATTACATAAATTTCACATATTTCACAGTGTTGTGGAATAATGATACTTAAGTAGATACTTAACCTTCACAAGGCAAATTGTTGTTATCATGGTCTATAAAGTTTGTGAATTCTATGAGCTTTGACAATACAATTATTTTTTCCATATCAGGTGATATTTACATTTCTTTCCTTTTGCTTAGCTGTTCCCCTTTCTTTCTCATTCCTCCCTTCCCATCGCTGTCTTTGGGTTGCTTAGTTCATTTAGAACTCTGGTTTCTTATTATTAATGGAAAAAAAGAAATGAACATGTTTGTGAATAATATTTTTTTGGTTGTTTTTTGTGCTTTTTGGAGATAGTCTTTGTATCTTAGAACTGTCCATAAACTAGCAATCGTGTAATCCTAGCCTCCTGCATACTAGGATTACAGGAATGAAATAACTCAGTTCATACTTTCATCTAATAGGTTTGAAGATTATTGTACTCAATCATTCCCTTCCTCATGATTGAACACATACATGGCTTCTTGATCCTTAAGTAAAACTGGAAAAACTGAACAAACCTCTTTGGAATACCCTCAAGTAGACCTTTGAGCAGATATTCACTGCTGCATTCAACACATTGAATGCCCAGGGCTGCACCATGCTAGGCTTATAGAAGTCTCAGTAAAATGTATCCTTTGATATGCTGAGCGTAGTCTCTTACTCTGGTAAGAAACCAGATGTTTCTTTTTTTTTTTTGGTCCGGTCGTGGAGCCTGAACTCTGGGCCTGGGTGCTATCCCTCAGCTCTTCAGCTCAAGGCTAGCGCTCTACTACTTGAGCCACAGCGCCACTTCTGGCTTTTTTCTTTTTGCTTATGTGGTGCTGAGGAATCGAACCCAGAGCCTCAGGCATGCAAGGCAAGCACTCTACTACTGAGCCACCTTCCCAGCCCAAACCCAAATGTTTCTTTATTACTGCCAAGGATCAAGAGTCATACAAACTGAAGTTTAAGAAAGATGAAAGCTGGGCACCAGTGGCTCACGCCTGTAATCCTAGCTACTCAGGAGACTGAGATCTGAGGATCCCGATTCAAAGACATCCTGGGCAGGAACATCCGTGAAACTCTTATCTCCAACAAACCACTCAGAAAATCATAAGTGGTTCTGTGGCTCAAGTGATAAAGTGCTTCCCTTGAGCTGAAGAGCTCAGGGACAGTGCCAGGCCCAGAGTTCAAGCTCCACGACCAACCCCCCCCCAAAAAAAAAAGAAATGTTGCCTTTAGGCCTGGGGCACATCCTGGTGGGGAGTGCATGGTAGAAGAAGCTGCTTGCCTTATGGTTAAAAAAAAAAAAAAAAGAAAGAAAGAAGAGAGCCAGGAATGTGGCTTAGTGGTAGAGTGCTTGCTTAGCATTCAAGAAGCCCTAGGTTTGATTCTTCAGTACCACATACACAGAAAAAGCTGGAAGTGGTGCTGTGGCTCAAGTGGTAGAGTGCTAACTTTGAGCAAAAGAAGCTCAGAGACAGTGCCAATGCCCAGAGTTCAAACCCCAGGATTGGGAAGAAAGAAAAGAAACAAGGAAGGAAGGAAGGAAAGAAGGAAGGAAAAAAGAAAAGAAGGGAAGATTGTCCATATAAATGGACTTAGGTGAACTGGGTTCATATTATAGGCATGACCTTAGGATCACTGGTGTGCTGGTTTTGGGGTTTGAACTCAGGGTCTAGGTACTATCCCTGAGCTTTTTTGCTCAAGGCTCTAGTGTTTTATCACTCGAGACATAGCCTCACTTCCAGCCTTTTTTGGTGGTTAATTAAAGAGTCTCACAGTTTCCCCCTTGGGCTGGCTGTGAACTAAGATCCTCTGATCTCAGCTTCCTGGATAGGTAGGATTATAGGCGTGAGCCACTGTTGCCTGATGATTTGTTTTTTTTTTTCAACTTGATTTTCTCTCATGCTACATTTAAAAGTCACTAAGTGTTAAGTTTTAAAATCTATGCTTCAATAAAAGTATTTTGAATTTCTTAATGTTTATACTTAGAGATAATTTAGAAAAAAATGCTGCAGGCTTTTTCTATTTGGAATAATTATCTGAAGAGTAGTTAGCTATGCGGCACACGGGGTTGAAGACTGCGGTACTTTATTAAACCATGATTGATAGGTCTATTTAAAATCATGCAGATTTTTGCAGCCTGTTCACAAGATTGACATGAACCTCACTGATCTTCTTGGGGAGCTGCAGAGGGACCCATGGCCAGTAACTCAGGGGAAGAGGCCTTTGCGATCCACTGGTGTTGCCTTGTCCATTGCTGTTGGCTTGTTGGAGGTAATTTGTAATTTACAGGGACCTCTCAGATTTTACAGACTTGTTCTTAGAAATTTTATTTCTTGCCTCTGTTTGGAACTCTTTTGTGGCATAAGTCAGCTGACTTGTATCAGGAAAGTTAAAGCAGTAGGAAGCACACACACTTCCCACTTTTTCTCACAGACGGAGAGAATATATGCTGCTTTTTTATATTATCTGTATTCTGCAATATCATTAGTAGTAAGCAGATAAAGAGGAGCTGGAAGTACAAGAGAATTCATATTTGGAGTATATTTATCCCGAAATGGAAACTACCCTAAGGGATGGGGCTTTGTTCTTCTAAAATGCTATTTATTGTTTCAGGTCACTTTCCCAAACACAGGAGCCAGAATCATGCTATTTACTGGAGGGCCTCCAACCCAGGGACCTGGCATGGTGGTTGGAGATGAATTAAAGATTCCTATTCGTTCCTGGCATGACATTGAGAAAGACAATGCACGGTTCATGAAAAAGGCAACCAAAGTAGGTACTCCTGGATATGAGCTATCCAGTGCTAGTTTTAGAATTCTCTGGAGTGAAAGCTACTTTGTTGAGGCCATATGCTCTTGAAGATTGAGTCTTCCATAATACTATTGAATTATTGTCCCTGAGGCAGTAAAGGGTTTGGGATTTAATAGCTAATTTCCTAATTTATTTGGATATTTTAAAGAATATGATCTCCATATTTCTTTATTTGATTGCTTCCTTTGGTATGTTAAAGCATACTTTGAGAATAAAGTTACTGTTTCCTAAAGATAGTTTTTTTTCTCTTCACAGCACTATGAGATGCTTGCTAATAGAACTGCTGCAAATGGTCACTGTATTGATATTTATGCCTGTGCCCTTGATCAAACTGGACTTTTGGAGATGAAGTGTTGTCCAAATCTTACTGGGTATGTTGACAGTGAACACTTGGGAAATCTGAGTTATTTCAAGGAAAGAAATGAGTGATAGATTCCTAAGAGTTGACAGGGCCAACCTAGGAGCTTTCATTGACTGCCTGGGGAGGGTATGTGGGTCTCTTGGAGGAAGAAGCAGTGATGAACAGGAGGTTTCAAGTGTTGGTGCAAACAAGTTATATCAAATAACTTTATTTCCTTCTCAGAAGCTTGTATGCAGACAAGGCCAAAAAAGAAAAAACAAACATAGAGTACTTCGCTTTTAGCAAGGTACTTCCTTGAGATAAGGGAAGAAGGTAGAGTATGAGTGTCAGAGCAATTAGAAAAACTTGGCTTGGTGGAGTGACCATACTTTGTGATTAACACTAAGTGTCATGTGAGACTATAGCAAGCACTGACCCAGAGCCTATCTTTGTATTGTACCCACAAGTCCAAATGTAAAACTGTGGTTCTCAGCATGCAAGGAAGCCTAGCAGGAGCCTTAGAAGTTCAGGGGAACTGATTATGAATATTCTTCTCTGGTCTTGTCCCAGACCAGAGTCAGAAGCTCTGGTATGCAGCTGTCAAGGAGATTCAGATGCCTGTGAAAGAGTAAGAAATATGGATGTCAGGCTCTGATCTAAAGTCAAGCTAACCAAGAACTTTAAAACTTGTGCTTTGAGTCTTGTCTCAGAAATTCTGGTTTAATTTAGCATTTGACCCAGGCTTTTTGTTGTTGTTATTTGTGTTTTGTTTTTCTTTTTTGAGACAAGGTTTCTTTATATACCCAAGACTGATCTCAAACTTGGTGATTCTCTTGCCTAACCCCCTGAAGTGCTGGATTATAGTTGTGTGTACCATGCCTAGAGTAGGCATCAGACATTTTTAAAGTTCCTTCAGTGATTCTAACAGGGAGCAGTGCTTGAATTCCGTTTAGCATTAGCCTCACCTGTGAGCTCATTGGAAGTGTAGCCTTTTAACCTACTGAATCAAAACCTTCAATTGCACAAGTCCCAGTAATTCACATACATGGAAGGAATAGTTTCAGAAACACAAGCACAGGCATAGAACTCTGAACTGGGCTTATGACTAGCTGATATTACTTGTCCTCATAGAGGGGGTGGAAGGTAGGCCTGAATTTCTTGAAGCTATGCTGGGGAGCAACCAATGTGCTTGATGGAATTAGAGTCTCTACTGGCACTTATATTAATGAGGTACACTAAATAAGAGGGACTCCTGCCAGGGCCCCATAGGAGTTCTTGATTTGGAGAATTCTTCGAGAAACTTTAGAGTATTTGTGAGTGTCCTGAAATTATGTGTCGTGGTGTGTGTGTGTGTGTGTGTGTGTGTGTGTGTGTGTGTGTGTGTGTGTGAGGTGTTGTGGTTTCTATGGATTCTTCGAGAAACTTTAGAGTATTTGTGAGTGTCCTGAAATTATGTGTCGTGGTGTGTGTGTGTGTGTGTGTGTGTGTGTGTGTGTGTGTGTGGTTTCTATGGAGAGGAGCCATTATTTCCATCAGTCTTATTGGTATATATTTGACTCTCGACATATGTAACATTTAGGTCACAAATATTTCAGTATGACTGAAATAAAAGATAAAGAAGTTTGTATGAGAACTTAAGATGAGCTTGTTTGGGATCTGGAGATGTACATAGCTGGTCATTTAGAGGGAAGCTCAACTAAAACTCAGTTTCTCTTTCTGCATACAAATCCACAGGTCACTGTTATAATCCCAAATGTGGGGGATTTTTTTCCTTGCCAGCCATAAGCAGTCATTTCTACAGTAGACACATATATATATTTATATATATGTGTGCCATACCCACAGTAGCACATGTTCATGTATATGTGTATCAGAATGTTACATTGACAAATTTAAACTGATGAGTTTATTGATTGAAGGGTACTTTTTTTTGAGGGGGGGTCAGGATCTTTCTATATAGAGTAATTATTCTCAAACTCACAATTCAGTCTACTGACCTACTGAGTTGCTGTGATTATGTGCATGTGTCAACATACTCTGCATTTTTTTCATCCATTTTTTTTGTCAGAAATAGAGATTTGTAGAAATTGCCAATGAGATAAGAGAGCAGATAGGTTCATTCATACTCTTCTTACACAAATATAGTACAGTGTCAACATTAGAAAGTTGGAATTGGCCCACTTTAGTAAATTATACCTTTATAAGAGTTTGCCAACTTTTTTTTTTTTTTGGTGCTGGGGCCTGTGCTATCTCACTTAGCTTTTTTACTTAAGCCTGGCACTATACCACTTGAGCCACAGATCTACTTCCACCTTTTTGGTGGTTATTTGGAGTTAGGGGTTTAATGGCTTTTTCTGCCTGGTGTGGCTTTGAACCTTTATCCTCATATCTCAGCTTCCTGAGATGGTAAGGATTACAGGCTTGAGCCATTGACACTTGGCTTTTTTATCCTTCTTTACATGTGAACATGTATAATTCTATGAGATTTTAACCTGTAGCTTTGTGTAATTAGTGTAGTCATCAAAATATGAAGCGGTTATTTATATTGTATGTTTAGTGTTTGGAAAATTTATAAGCTAAACATGCTGTTTTCCATTTAAGTTAGTAGTGATGGTATATTTTCAGGTTTGTTTTTTTTTTCTTGTTTATATACTGAGGGAGCATATGAATGGGCTTGTGGTCATCCTAACATCCTTTTTTATTTTTTTAGAGGCCACATGGTGATGGGAGATTCTTTCAACACTTCTCTCTTTAAGCAGACATTCCAAAGAATTTTTAGTAAAGATTTTAATGGAGATTTCCGCATGGCATTTGGTGCTACTTTGGAAGTAAAGGTGTGATACACTTAAAACATGAATGGAATTAATGTTGTTTTGCTTTCCTTTCTCATTTTGTACTTTCTGATAGTCTTAGCCTCTTTCACACAGGCACCTAAAGGCCAGTTTTTAAAAGGATCCCAACAGAAGGCTATCATGGATTGTACTATTTACCTTGTCCCTTTACTTTTCAAGGATAGCCTGTATATTTATTAACATTCTACACAAGAAGCTGGTGGTTCCCCTGCAGGCCCTACTCCACTCTGCTTTAGGACAGACAGAAGTTGAGAAAGGGTGATGGGGGAATTTGTTAGATGCACTATTGTGTCTTGACAGGAAGCCACACACAGGCCAACATCTATCATTAGTGTGTGTCACCACACTGATCATCTGTGTTTATGTTTACTTCTATCTGAAGACTAACCAGAATGTTCTGAAGTAGATAGCATTGTACATTTTGGTTTTTCTGTGCAGAACTCAGCCCCTGATAGTGGACTCTAAGTCATTGAGAAAACATTAAAAAAGGAGTATTAGAAATGATAATTAGAGAATTAGAGGTGAAGTTAACTGTTAGACAACATTCTTTTTTTTTTAATTTTTTATTGTAAAGATACTATACAGAGGGTTACAGTTACATGAGCAAGGTAATGAGTACACTTCCTGTTGAGCATTGTTACCCCCTCCATTAACAACATTCTTAAATTAGTTTTTTTTTAAGATGAAGAAGAGTGCATTTTGTTGAAGTGAATTTAGATTAGAAAATCTGTTGGTCTTGTCATTATGTTGGGGTTCATAAATTAAATTTTGTTTTTGTTTTTGTTTTGGTGCTGGTCCTGGGCCTTGAAATCAGGGTCTGGGCACTGTCCCTGAGCTTTTGCTCAAGTGGTAGAGCCACAGTGCCCCTACCAGCTTTTTCTGTGTATGTGGTACTGAGGAATTGAACCTTGGGCTTCATGCATACTAGGCAAGCACTCTACCACTAAGCCACATTCCCAGCCCTTGCTGCAGCTTTGTGTTTTTTTTTTGGGTCTGGTCGTGGGGCCTGAACTCTGGGCCTGGGCGCTGTCCCTCAGCTCTTCAGCTCAAGGCTAGCGTTCTATCACTTGAGCCACAGCACCACTTCTGGCTTTTTCTGCTTATGTGGTACTGAGAAATCGAACCCAGGGCTTCAGGCATGCAAGGCAAGCGCTCTACCACTCAGCTACCTTCCCAGCCCCTTGCTGCAGCTTTGAAGGATAGATTTCACTAACATTTTAGTCAATATATAGGATGGGTGAGTAGTTGGATGCTGTAATCAATGTGAGATTTTTCTTTTGTTAGAATAACATTAAAAGATTTTCCTTGACGTTTTTTATTGTGACTCTCGAGAGCAGGATAGCTCTCAGTGTTGTTGTTGTTGTTTTCTAGTCCTGGTACTTGAACTCTGAGCCTGGGCCGCTGTCCCTGAGCTTCTTTTGCTCAAGGCTAGCACTTTACCACTTGAACCACAGAGACACCTCCAGCTTTATTTTTGAAGTAGTTTGTTGGAGATACGAATCTCATGGAATTTCCTGCCCCAGCTAGTTTCAAACCACAATCCTTAGATCTCAGCCTCCTGAGTAGTTGGGGTTACAAGGTGTGAGCCATTGGTACCTGGAAGATCTCAGTCATTTTTAACTTTTTAAAAAAATATGTTATTTATTGTAAAGATACTGTACAGAGGGGTTACAGTTACATGAGTAAGGTATAGAATAGTTATTTCCTCCTTTGTTTTTCCCCTACCATCCCTTTCCTCCCCAGTCATTTTTAACTTTATACTCTTTTGTAATTTGTTTTAGACTTCACGGGAATTGAAGATTGCAGGAGCCATTGGTCCCTGTGTCTCTCTGAATGTAAAAGGACCATGTGTATCAGAAAATGTAAGGAAAATTCCATCATCTTCACTGCTGTATAGTTAAGCTTATAAGAGGAGTCACTGACCTTATAGTGTATCAGCTGTTAGGTGTATCCAGTGAGCGGGGATAGGGTAGCCTTCATTGATGACCACAAATCTGAGGCATAGGCATCATCTGTCCTCTGTATGTATCTGTCTGAAGGACCAGAAAGACAGAGACAGTATGTTGAAATCTTTCTCAGAGAAAGAGATAACATGGAAAAGCTGTATCCCAGTTACTCTTTACTCGATAACCTGTACATGATTTGCTATACCACTGTGCCACAAACATTCAACAAAATATTTTAGAATAAATCTTTTGTGTTTGGTAACCGTTGAGGTGACAACTTGTCTCATTCTTAGCTAATGAACCTAATATAACAGGGACCACACCCAGAGTTGGTTGAGCAACAGATGAAATACAGATGCAGACATCTGTGTTCTCTGGTATCACATGGTGAGTTTATGAGAACAAAGTTCAGTCATAACTTGGGATGGTGGCTTTGCTGGTGACCCACGCCCTCCAATTATGCTATATCTGCCAAGGGGTCTGCAGTTTTGTCTAATGAGTTCTCCCAAGTGGTCCAGTGATAGTTATACAATCAGGTCCTTCCCTCATTGTCTTCCTCACTAGGTAAGTGGACTGAACAGACAGTATAGATGCAGGGCACAAGTCTACCACTTGATATCTGTGTGGCCTGGCTAAAGAACTTAATGGCTGTATGATTTAATGTTATACTTGGCAAGTGAGGATAACAAAGTACCTATTTTCCAACAATATTAGGAGAACTAAACAAGGTAGAATTAAACAGGGCCTAGCTCACTGGAGAGGCCTATGGGAGATGTCATCTTTCACATCTTCATTTTTGTCTTTGTGAGAATGAACTGTGCAGTGCAGGTGGATTCAGGGTGGCATGGATGACTCTCTTAATGCATAAGCACTTTACTTGGTAAGCACAAATGTGCTTGGGATCTGTTGCAATGTGTAGTGGCCAGCACCTCTATGAAGACAGTGTAGTTTTAAAACTCTAGTAATTTCAGTTGGGGATTCTAGGTCTTTTTTAAAACGTCTTTTCTATAAAATAATACTCAAATTCACATTTAAGTGACCCTGGTATTTTGTCTCTTTGTGCCATTCAACAAATCATTGAAAAAGGAGCCTTCATGCTACTACATTCTCCTCCATTCTCACTGAGAATTTATGTGTAGCTTTTACATGAAAATGTTGAACTAGAAATTAGTATTTCAAAGCCAGACATAGTGACATATGCCATTAGTTCCAGATACTTGGGAAGTTAAGATGGGAGGATCACTTAAGCCCAAGAGTTTATGATCAGCAGGAGCAACATAGCAGGATCCTGCCTTAGCCTGCTGAGTACTAGGATTAGAGATATGTGTCATTGTGTCAGGCTCTATCACACTATTTTTTTTTTTTTTTTGGTTCCGGTTGTGGGGCCTGAACTCTGGGCCTGCGTCCTGTCCCTCAGCTCTTTAGCTCAAGGCTAGTGCTCTACCACTTGAGCCATAGCACCACTTCCAGCTTTTTCCTTTTTGCTCATGTGGTGCTGAGGAATCGAACCCAGGGCCTCATGCATGCAAGGCAAGCGCTTTAACCCCTGAGCCACCTTCCCAGCCCACAATTTCTTGTTCTAATAATAATAAGAAATTCATAAAACTTTCAGTCTAAGCAGGTAACTATTCTTCCTACTGTATTTCTTCCCTGCCTGACTTGCTTGATTCTTTGTTGAATTATACACCATTATATATCATTGTTATGTAGCATTTCATGTATATATGTTGTAATGAAAATAATTCATAATACAAATATGACAAATTTAAAGTATTGAAAATGTTATGCTGTTTGGTGTTCTGTTTCTCAGTAAAAAAATATTTCCAATTTTTATTTAGAAAGAGATAAATTTAAGTGGCTTGCCCTGCTCATTCAGTACTTTTCATAGATAGTTAATCACAGGATTTGAGTTTTGATTGTTTGTATATTTACATTCCTCTTTCCACCCCTAGGAACTTGGTGTTGGTGGCACAAGTCAGTGGAAAATCTGTGGCCTAGACCCCACATCTACCCTTGGCATCTACTTTGAAGTTGTCAATCAGGTACGCTAGCTTTCTTCACCTGTCTTCATGTTACAGTGTCCTCTGTTTTTTACAGACCAGTGTTCTCTAGCTACTTACTTCACAACTTGCTACTATTGGGTCAGGCATGATGCTAGTCTGGCATGGTAGTCTGGCATGGTCTTTTTTATTTCTTCTAGGGATTAGTCGGTTTTAGATTGAAATTATTACTTTTACCAGCTATTATAATATTGAATTTTTTGAATGTGCCAAATCTTTCCTTAATATTTCCTTAAGAAAAATTCCAAAATACAAAACATTTAAATAATGATATAGTGAATACCTGTAAACCCACAAAAATTAACATTTTACTTTGTCATTTGTTTATTGGTCCAACTTATTTTTTTTTTTTTTTGGTCCGGTCGTGGGGCCTGAACTCTGGGCCTGGGCTGTGTCCCTCAGCTCTTCAGCTCAAGGCTAGTGCTCTATCATTTGAGCCACAGTGCCACTTCTGGCTTTTTTTTTCTTATGTGGTGCTGAGGAATCGACCCCAGGGCCTCATGCATGCAAGGCAAGCGCTCTACCACTGAGCCATCTTCCCAGCCCCCAACTTATTTTTGATGCATTTCAGAGCAACTTGCAGTCATCAGTGTATTTCATCCCTAAACATTCCAGCACTCATCGATAATTGAAGTTCAGGTTCTTCCTCACTAGACATTGAACACAAGACCTCATGTTTGCTAAATATGTGCTCTTACCATTGAGGCTATACTTCCCACCCCAGAAGTTTATAAGTAAGTCTGCTTCTTCTTTCTTTTCTTCCCCCTCTTTTCTTTTAGGTAAAAGTTATATACAGTGGAGTTATGAATCTCCTTAATGTGTGGTTTAAAATGCTTCCAGCATCTTATCCCTACAAGTGTTTAGAAAAGCCTCGTAGGCTCTGTGACTATGTTTGGATCATGCCTATGACAGTAACCATGTATGTGGCCTCTCACCCTGCAGCACAATGCCCCAATCCCTCAGGGAGGCAGAGGAGCCATTCAGTTTGTCACTCAGTATCAACATTCCAGCACCCAGAAACGCATTCGAGTGACCACCATTGCCCGCAAGTAAGTAGCTCATTTTCTTCACCTTGAAATACTGAAAGTTTTCCTATGAAAAGATGTTTGACCATCTTTGAGGTGGTTTTTCTGGTTTTATTGGATGGTTCTCACCAATCCAACGTGATTGTTTAAGTCTTTGTCTTAGAGGAATACCTTTCAGTAAGATATAGCTCAATGAATATTATTTTTTATTATCTCATTTATTCCATATGTAAACCATCCTCATTAAAGTAGAATGTAAATTCAGAAGATCTTCTGTATCTGTGGTTTCTCCATTTAGGGAGTTAATCATCTGTGAATGGGTAATATGTTTTAAAAGCTTATCTGTACTGAGCATATAGACATTTTTTCTTATCCATTTTTCTTTAAACAATATAGTATAGCAACAATATAGTATAGCAATGCTGTTTGTACAGCATTTATGTTTATTATATAGTCCGAGTCATATGTGGATGTTTGAAAATATTATGCCTTTTTTCTATTTTTTTGTTTGTTTTTTGGTGCTAATATTGGGTCTGGTTGCTGCCCTTGACTTTTTTTTGCTCGAGGCTGGAGCCATACCTTCACTTCTACCATTTTTGATTGTGATAAGAATTTATGGACTTCCCTGCCTAGGGTGGTGTTCATCTTTGATCCTTAGATATCAGCCTCCTGAGTAGCTAGGATTACAGGCTTGAACCACTAGTGCCCAGTTATATTACTCATTTTAGTAGTTACATAGTAATTCATAGTTCGCATGGATATATCACTTCTCTGTTAAAGAACATTGTAAGCCCTTATAACAGTGCTGCATATTTTTAGGTCTTTATACACAGAGGTATTTCTGTTTCTTTTCTCTTTTTCTTTGTTTTTCTCTTCCTTTTTCTCTTTCTCTCTCTCTCTTTTGTGGCACCAAAGATCAAACCCAGGACCTTTTGCATGCAATAGTATGCCTTCTATCACTCAGCTACAGCTCTAGTCTCATTGTAGCTACTTTCTAGAAATTAAATTTTGGATACTACACAACAACATTCTTTTTTTTTTTTTTTTGGTCGGTTATGGGGCTTGAACTCTGGGCCTGGGCACTGTCCCTGAGCAATTCCACTCAAGGCAAGCATTCTACTCCTTGAGCCACAGTGCTACTTCTGGTTTTCTGGTGGTTACTTGGTAGTTAATTGCCTGGGCTGGCTTTCAACCAGGATCCTCAGATCTCAGCCTCCCAAGTAGCTAGGATTACAGGCATGAGTTACCAGCGCCTGGCACAGCTACTTTTTTATTTGTACTCTTCCCCAGTACTGTAAGAAGAGTACTACCACCTTATTAACAATCAACATTATTATTCTTTGACATGTCAGTGTAGATCAGTATCTCACTTCCATTTGTCTTTCCCCATGTTATAATTGAGTTGAGTATTTTTTCTTTTCTTTTTTTTTATTGTGAAAATACTGTAATGAGGGGTTGCAATTACATGGGCAATGAGTTGAGTACTTTTTCATGTTTATACCATACAGACCTTTTCTGTGATAGCTTCTGTTTGTTTTTGTAAAGCTTATTTATTTTACTTGTTCATTGATTTACAGATATTCTTTATGTATTCTGGAGATAATAATCATGTTTGTTGTGTGTATTTATTCTTGGTCTATCAGGTAATTCTGGGAAGTCATTTTGTAAATTTTAAATTTGACATAGAAGGAAGAACATTATATTCAGGCTTGTCTCTTGAGTTTCTGCTTTTGTATCTTGTAGATGTAGAGAAATTTTCCTTTATCATTTTTCTTTTGAGCTGAGAGTCTTCAGATGTCACCATGGATAATTAAAAATGTACACCAGGTGTCCTTAGTATAAGTACAGTACAAAGAAATAAGATTTCTTTGTCTTCGCAAAGAAATAAGGTTTATGTTTATCAAAGTGGAGATTGGCCTTGTAGTCACTTCTGAACGTATGCCTGGCACTAACTCTGGAATTGTCAGTTGGGCAGATGCACAGAGTCAGCTTAGGCATATAGAAGCTGCGTTTGATCAAGAGGCTGCTGCAGTTTTGATGGCACGGCTAGGTGTGTTCCGGGCAGAGTCAGAGGAGGGGCCTGATGTGCTCCGATGGTTGGACCGACAACTCATCAGACTGGTAAGTTGAAAATAATAGCATTGGATTCAATGTTGGTCTCTGCTCTACTTTTGAGAAAAAAAAATTGTCAATTAAACCTATTGTTTTATATAGTCAGTTAGCAAGTATTTATCAGTTGTTTATCTTCTGCCAAACACTGGACATTCTGAGAGTTTATCAAACAAATGTTAACTGCGCATTTATTCAAGAGCTGACATCATAGTTGGAAAGAAACAAAATGTATGGACTATTTGGTGCATTAGTATTTTGGTATTTGGTAACAATTGAGTTACGTTAGTGATTTTGTGAATGTTACAGTCCTATATTTTCTTTTTTTTTAAATTTATTTATTTTTTATTTGTGCAGTCCTATATTTTCTCCCGGCATCTAGGAGGTGTTTTTGAAATTGGGATCCATGCATAGTGAGAGATGCCTCATGTATCAGGCCAGATCCAAGCAGGAGAGAGGAAGCAAGAAGCATTACAATGTGTCTTTAGGGAGAGGTTAGACTTAAGTATGATTCTCAAGCAGGGTTGTAGCATAGGCATGTGTTCATGTTTAACATCCCCCTAGCAGGGAGATTCCTGGGAGAAAAGACTATTGTTAAAGATGAAAGAGTTGGGAGCCAGTGACTCACACCTGTAATCCTAGCTACTCAGGAGGCTGAGATCTGAGAATCACGATTCAAAGCCAGCCCAGGCAGGAAAGTCAATGAGACTTATCTCCAAGTAACCACAGAAAACCAGAAATGGAGCCGGGTGCTGGTGGCTCACGCCTGTAATCCTAGCTACTCAGGAGGCTGAGATTTGAGGATCATGGTTCAAAGCCAGCCCGGGCAGGAAAGACCGTGAGACTCCTATCTCCAATAAACCACCAGAAAACCGGAAGTGGCGCTGTAGCTCAAGTGGTAGAGCGCTCGCCTTGAGC